ACAGGATACTTGTATTATCATTTACTAAAACAGAAGATTGCTTTCTTAGAAATCTCGCCATTGTCAAATAACTCACAATCATTACAAAGCAGGTGTTAAAAAGAGTTAAAGGGGCTGGACCTGACAACCCCAGCACTGTCTCCTGCTGAACCTCTCTGCCTCTCACACCTTGATCTCCACTCTGAGATCACAAGTTGCACTGTCTGGAAAGAGAGATGAGGCAGATCACTCACCAGTTATAACATCTGTGCTAATTATTCATTAGCTCCTGATTGACACTCATCATCAAAAAAATAGATCGACTTGATGAGAGCTGATGGAAGTAGATGATGGCTCTTTAGATTCACTGTGGAGGTATAACTCACAGCTTCTTGTCTTGTAGGGAAAACTGACAGAAGCCAGCCCATGGAATTGACCAGATATTCAGGGCTCAGGACCTGGACAAACTGTCACATGGTTGGAGACTCTGGAAGCTGAGAGTTATGATTGGGAAACACATATTTGAACTCACTATTTCTTGTAAATAAGGAATTGAAGGCCCAATGAATTTAGACATTGTATTTGGGGGAGAAATGTGGGATATGAAGATAAAGAGATAGACTTAAATCCCATCTCTGCCACTTACAAGCACAGAGGCCTTGGAGAGTTTCCTCACCTGTAAGATGCCAGGCGTGCCACCCACAACTGAGGCTGCTAGAAAGCACGCAGCACATAGCGGGCCTTGTGATCGTCAGGCGCTATCATCAGGGGCTTCTCTGTGGCCTCTGTAACCAGGTCATAGAGAGCGAACCTGCTCTCTCCACCTCTCTAGGGCATCCTGAATGACAAACACTAACTTTGGTGTCCCCAGGGCCTCATTTCTGTCCTTTCTTCCTGTCCCTTCCCCACAGGGATGCTTCCTTCCCTGGTTTCCCCTCTGCCAGCCTGTAGACATCCAGTGCCATTCCCCCTATCAAAATCTTCAGGGAAAGATGCCAGATAAATCAGACAGGTGCACAACTTTAGAGAGAACTTGGGACATTGTGTTATACCCATATGAAAAAGTACAGAGAACATAAATGGACCACACAATAAATTATCCAGGAGCCACGAGAACAGCGTCCAGGGCAGGAAAAGGAGCCCTCGTGTCAGTCCCTCCTTCCAATCACAGAATTCTCTCTTTCCTATAAGTGACCATCGCCTGACCGTGTGACACCCACCCCCTTGCGGTCTTTGTGGTTTACCTCCCGAGGGTGCATCCCTAGGTGCTAGGGCCGAGCCCCATCGGCTGTTGAGTTGTGATGGGTGTGGGCTGTGGTGGCTTCCACCCGGGGCGCATTAGTGGTGCGGCACCAGGGAGCGAACAGCAGCTCTGCCAGGTCCGTTGCTGTGCAGAGTCCCATAGCACAGACCCAGCAAGGCAACATTCCTACCAGTCGGATGCCAGCAGGCACAGACGTGTCTCCAGGATCTGGGGTTCCGACTAGTGCCGCTGCAAGCAGGCCTGCATCTCCCACCACACAGCAAGTGCCTTTCTCCAGGGGCCATGCCTGGGATGGAACGGCTGGCCCCCGCTGCTATGTGCAAAGGGGCAAGCTGACCCTGCAGGGTGGCAGCAACGCACAACGGCCGCACAGCGCCCAGGCCTTTCTGCTGTCCTGTCCTTGCCAGCGCATCACACTCAGGTTTTTTCACTTCTGTTCCTCTGGCAGGTGTATGGGGAGTCTCTGTGATTTTAATTTGCATTTCCCTAGTATTAAAAATCCTAAGCACCTTTTTCTACTTTTACGGGTCATCAGGATTTCCTTCTTTATACAGTGCTGCCTATAAAAGACTTTTGGCCATTTTTCTGCTAGGTTGTCTCATTATCTCATTTTTCTTGTTGGTTAATAGGAATTTAGGTATTTTGCATTAATGGCTTAATGACACGTACTTGTGAAATAAAGGAACCCATCACCTCTCAAGGGTATGTCTGGGACAACTGAGAAGGTGGAAGAATTTGGGGGCAGGGCTGTCCTCTACTGCCCTGGAATCATGCCGATAAGTGGCCATCTATTTCCCTCACCACCTGTCTGCCTCGTGGTGTGCTTGCGACCCTGATAAAAATACACACGTGTACTTCTGAGTGACAGTTATTGTCTATGGCTCATTTTCTGATTTTCAAATTGTTACAGAGCATACTTACATGGTAAGCTTGGTGTGAACTTGAAGACAAAAGGTATTTATTGAATACTGAAGTTCAACCACCGTTAACAAACTTGAAAATCACCCGCATCACTTACAGGTAGCAGAGAAGGCATATTAGCCATATTATGTATCGGTTGACTTCTCAGTGACGTTCTGAGGATGTACCCAGAGACTGAGCTCCCTGGTGTTTGCGGATAAGAACTTGGACCAGCTGTGACCATGTTACTAGTCACAATCTCATGCAAACCAGTGCTCCTGTGCTCCTACCGCTGTGTTTCTATGCATTGTTTGTGAGGGTTGTGTTGACATCTAGAAAGAAGTTAAGTTACATTATGCAAAAGTTAATCATAAATTCTTTTTGTGTGGGTGTGGGGGGCATGTATACTCAATCCTCCCATAACTCTCCCTTAAATGTGAACATTTTCTCAACGATTCACCACAACTCTATAAAGCTTCCAAAAATGTTCCTAGCACAGACACCTGCTCTCTCCCTCCCACATATTTGCAGATTGAAAGCATGGAATACAGCTGGGGTTAAAGAATTTTTCCATAACTCTGTGGGAGTTATGGCATATATTAGTTGCACCGACCAGGTGTAAAATGACACTTGCCAAGAGGACGTTGAGGTGCAGCCACAGAACCACACCACAAAAGTGAAAACCAGCCTCCACCTCGCAGAGCACCCCATCTTCTGGGAGAATTTTTAATCTAGAGCATTTTGCTCCCTCCTCAGCAGCATTTTCCATTTTAAACAAAAGGACAGGATACTCCCACTTCCCTAACTCATTCTTTGGACCACAAAATCAACGTGGGCAGGGAAAAAATAGAGCATTTCTATATGGTAAAATGCTACTGATGCCTGGCTGGAAAAAGTGACATGAGCGAACATCACAGTGATTTAATTCCAGAAACAAGGCACTCCTTGGAGATTGTGTAAAATTCAATCGATTTTGCATGTTTTCCTAAGAAAGTTCTCTGGGACACTAAATTTTTCAGAAGGTGTCACTAAAGTCACAGAAATAGATATTTCCTCTGTTTTCTCCTTTGTAAAATAAGGCTCAGTCATTGCCAGGCTGACCAAGCCACCGCTGGAGGCCCCTGTCTCCTCTGTGGGAATGAGGGGGGTTCCACAGGCCTCAATCCTGCACCTGCTCCTTCCACCTCCTTCCATCCCATTTCCTTCCCCTTTCCCCTCTCCCCTCCCTGCCAACTGCTCTGCAACAACATCCTAGAATGTAAAAAATAATATTAATAAAATTACATTTTCTTTATTTTTTTTAATTTAAGAAAATTTTTCTTTTTTTTTTTTTGTCTTTTGTCTTTTGTCTTTTTTCCGTGTCCGGCAACGGATCGCAACCCTCAGTGTCGCCCCCGCACCGGACCGGGGACCGGCAACGGGATTGCAACCCTCGGTGTCGCTCCCGCGCCTCGCTCAGCCAGTGAGTGGGAACCGGTCCGTATGTGGGATCCGAACCCTCGGGCGGGAGCGCCACCGCGCTTCCCAAGCGGCGCACTATCCAGTGCGCCACCGGGCCGGCCCCTAATTTAAGAAAATTTTTAAAAATAATAATAATAATAAGGCTCAACTTCAGATGCTGCCACATGGATGAGATGAAATGGCAGGTGAACAAATCTTTCAGAGTGAGGGATACTCACAGAAGCTGACTTAAAGATGTTAATTTTTTTCTTTCTTTCTTTCATTTCCTCCATGAATTTGTATAACTACTAGGTATAAGCATTAGCTAACTAAAATATTTTTTCAACACTTTTTAGGCCTTGGATGACAAAACAGTTTTTAAAAATAAATATATTTAAATTCCACATTATGCATACCCCATGGCTTTTAAGTGATGACCAGTCCCTTGAAATATTAAGTTTCATGTTATTGTTAGTTACGGACGTCATCACATGGAAACCATAGTAGTTGATGAGTTCTAACCTGTGCCTGGGCTCCGGGATGCTCAGTAAATGTCTGAATAAGGAAAATAATTCCCAGTTATACATGTCTGTCCCTTAAATAGAAAATTAGTCTAAAAGTAAACTTGCAGTGCAAATGGTCCAACATTTTACACGAAAAACTGGGAAAGATGTTTTGTGCTTTATCCCTGTTGTGTGATGATACAGGTTGCCTGTCTTCGTGTGTGTACTCTAGGAATTCTGATCCTAGAGCATGAGCTGTCTGCACAGAAGGTCTGGCAGGTCTCCCCAAGAAATCGATCAAACTTGGGCTGCAGACCATTTTCAAATAAAAATGATCTGAATCGTTTATAGCATTTTTGGTAAAATATTAATGGAAAAGATTAGATAATAATAATAGATTATTATCCTGCCAATTTTATTACTGTCAGTACATCGAGTCCTTTTATGACTAATAAAATAACACAAATAAACCATCTGGAAATTGACCTATAAAGAATGGCCCACTTTTTCTTTGAAAACATATACATGAGAAATGAGAAATTTTTGCTTTTTTGGTCAAAGAAAATATTTTGTCATTTCTGTTGGTGACTACAGTACTTATGGCTATTATTGAAAGTGAAGATGCACACGTAGTCGCCACCCATCGTGATGCTGGCCTGGGGTATCTTCCTTGGACAAGCCGTCCTCTGGCCATCTGTACACATACATCTATCTTTGTTTTTCTCCTCTTAAGAACAATAGCACCATAATATTTTAGGTTTTGCCCAGTGACCGAAGCCCATTCCATTATTGCTCACATGCCACCTAAACTGAATTTCCTTTTAAATTATGAGCAAACATAAGTAACACAATTGGAAGAAACAACAAACTAATTTCCATAGGACATTTCACTCTGAAAGTGAAACCAGACCTACCCGGGCACCTGGGTGTCTTGTGGGCGACGGCGGTGCCACTGATGGGCCTCCCGTTGGGCGCGACGCACCAGCAGTACCCCGTGAAGCTGTGGCACTGCACCTGCAGGAGAGGACATGGCAGGGTGAGCTCGCTGGGCGGCCGGCCGGGCTGCACCTCGCTGTGCACATGGCCCCTGCCTTCTAGAGCATCGTTTCAGACAGAGGCCGCAGGACACACAGAACTTCCCACACAGCTGCATTTGAATATGCGACAGAAGGAAGAGGGTTGCCCTGGACCACAGGATTTTAGAGATAAAGGGCACTTTTACTGACTGCAACTCTGGTCTGGGCACCTTAGTGTCTAATCCTTACCACCTTCCAGATGTAGCCCAGCGCTCATCTTACAAATGGGGAAACTGAGGCCCAAAGAACTCGGGAGACTTGCTGTCTCTCAGTCGGCCCATGGCAGAGTCAGGGTGGAGACGGGTGTTGGCTGCTGGTGGGTATTCTTTGCAGGGAGACTTGTTTGGCCTCCCCAGCGTCCACCCTGCTGTCTGCACCATGACACCCCCCCCCCCCCCCCC